CTGAATTAATTTTCAAAATCTACGACTACCTAAACATAAACGATTAAGTATTGGTATTGGTATTCGAACTTCAGTTAACAAATCTTCTGTTGCTTAAGGGTATCTGCATCACGCAAATTCGTGTTTCTCATTTATGTCGGTTAGTCATTCCGTGCCTGTTGTATGGTAAATCATTGCGTAATACGTACTGAGTCCATCTTCTTGACGGAATATTCAGAGATCTATCATACTGGTAACCCAAATTAAAGGTTAGGTGTAGATGAGCAGTTACATTTAACGATCAAATATTCCTAAAATATGTAATTATGTAAATATTCCCCTGTAGCGGTTTGTCCGAGTCGACATCGAGTTCCAGTTAGTTACCTATTTATTGCGCTTGTTACAGTCGCCAGTGGCCTCCACAACGACGCAACGCCGATTGAAGTTATTAGGTATTTAGTCATGAACATCGGACCTTTGTCATTCAATTTCGCCTCTGTTACCGGGATCAAAAACTTCTTAATGATGGAGCGTCTTTGCCTGATACTATAGATGTAACATTTACAACCGCCTACTCCCTACAACCTCATCCCCAATTGTCAACCTTCACAAAAAATTTTTTGGAGATCAATCAGGAACCTCTAAAACTTCAAATGACAAAGTTTGAGCGATTTTTTCAATTATTTGCTTTTTCCTCCACCGACGCAGCACCGATTTTCAAAAACTACAAAGCTGTTTCGTCCTTGGTATAGTAGTAACACTTTTTAGAAATTCTGTTAAGATCCGAGCGGCACATGGAAACACCTGGGCATCTAGCGGGATCACTGCATAATCAAACGTCCCTAAATAATGAGAAAAATGGGCATTTCAGTTAAAGAGATTGTAAATATGAGCAATAATGAAAAAAGTTTGTGGATAATCCACTGAGCCCCCTGCAGAACTTTGTTCTGGATACACCAGTAATAAGACGTGTATTTTAAAAAGTCTGAATGCCTATTAACAAAATATTGTAGCTGGTGGAACCAGGCATTTTAACAATTGAAGAGTGGTGATTTAAAAGTGTCTAAGTGCCACATTTGGGTATTTTCAAATTTCAGAGATTTTAAGGTCTATGTACCATTGCCAATAGTATACCAAACAGTATATGTGCCAGTCAAGAATCTGCAGTTCTATATACATATTTCAAATTCGCCTGCAATCTATCTCCACTAACCTATTGATATGTTTTTCTTTAATTTATCAACAAAAGCTTTTTGGTACTTAGACGCTTTTGAATTACCACTCTTCAATTATAGCATTACTGTTGAAAAATAGTATATCGTCCAAATCTTGCTCGCCTGGTTTAATCAAAACTATGAGATTTTCCAAAATTGACACTGTGGCCAGTTGTTACTTTGAATTAGAAACTTCCAAGGAACTGGCAGTCAGGCTACATTTGTAGAGGTTGCAACACCGAGATGGTTTGAGTTCGGTGAAAGTATTGGCTTGCTAAATAATCGAGTTATAGTGCGAGTATGTAGCATGATCGATAATGAAAGAAAGTCCGCCTGAAAAATTGGTAATTATAATCCATCGGGAGAAAAAAGGTGCCGCTTTGCGATCAATAACAAAGACCTTCGATATTAATTAACACTCAGTGACTAATGAAAAATGCAAAAGGTTGCTTTTTACACGATGAGGTGAACTATAGATCATCAACGGGGTAGCAGAGAAGTTATTCTTGCTAAAGGAATGAAGATTATTACCTTTACAAGATGGTGATCAAGTTATGGATGAATTGAACTTCCACGTATGATCACTGCAGATGCGCTAATAATTTTGATCTTTTATTAAAAGCTATACCTTTGAATTTGGTTGTTTTACAATGCAATGCAGTTTTCATGCTCCTATGTTCGCTATACCTACAAACAACCTAAATTTGATACATTGTGATGCGTCGGGGATTCTGGATATTTTGAGGGTTTAAACTTCAAAGTATCTTTATATCTACAAAATATTCATGTTATCCCTCTGTACCTACACCGAGGTGACTTGTGAGTTTCCGAGTCTCGGGACTCAAAAAATATTCGTTCGATACCTTCTTTCAACTGCCAATAAATTTCTTTGTGAGATAACCTGATCTTATACTCGTAAGCGTATACCTGATAACACTCTTGTTTAAAAAAAAACTTATGTATTAGTCCCATCAGAGTGACAGAAAAAAGAGCACCTAATAATAATGAATTTACTACAAGGATCTTTTAGGTATATGTTTCTTTTGGTTAGGACAAAAGAAAATACGTTGTAAAGAACAACTTTAATCTGTTCAGTCATGCCAAAAGTATAAGACGAGAAAATTTTCAGCAACTTGGCGAGTTTGATAGGGGGTGAATTGATCTTGTGTGAGGCTGGCAGGTCCTTTAGAGAAATACACAGCAGGGCCAGCAGATGGTGGTGGTTGATCGACATGTTTGATAAAGGGCAACTTACTGACAACGAATGTTCCGAATAGCTTGCAATGTATTCTGGGGTACGTGTACATATCGTAGAATTCACAATCACGGTTTTAGTTAGCAAGACATTTTACTATTTGATTCTTATCTGTTATAGTATCCCCATTAATATTCGGGATATCATTAATCATTCAATTTGTTGGATTTGCCTGGCCTCTTTACTATTTTCCATGTTTCTCTGCACTTGTTTTCTGATCTGCAAAGTTTACTAACATAGTATTGTTTATTTGCCTCAGCTAGCAATTGCAATTCGAATTGTTTATCGCCGGATCAAGAGGTTTGAACCAACTTCATATCCTCCCCAGTTTGTCCTACCACTCACTCCTTGTCGCCAAACTGATCGACTGCTTGGTGCAGAGAACGTCTGAGCTGGGACCTCGAATGGAATATTATTAGTCTTTAGTGATGAATTCGGGTTCTGTCTGGATATGCATGATGAGAAGGCGACGAGGTGAAAGGCTAGATTCTCAGTTTTCTATGAAAACGCATGTGCACCAGACTGTTGGAATTATGCTGTCGGGGCCTATTGCATATAGAAGCAGATCACCTTTCCACCACATTTTTTGCCTTATATTCGGACGCTCATCAACCCACTTTCTAACAAAGTAATGCGCGACCACATATTACGTTGGTCCGCTTTGAAAACGATCAAGTCGATTTGATGCCTTGGCCCCTAAATCTTCCGATCTTCTAGCTTGGAATGAGATGTTTCAACAGGAAATCGATCATCTGATTCGGAGTATAGTCTAATCCAGGGCTGTCCAACTTAATGTGGCCCAAGGGCCAATTAAAAAAAATGCAGTTTGGAGGGCCGCATTATAAAATCTTTCTATACAACATTATTACTGAGTTAATGTAAGAATTGTGCATATTCGGTATTTGAGAGTAATTTATACATGTGATGTATATATGACCCGTGAAGTGGGCCGCAAGAAAGGAGTTCGCGGGCCGCATGCGGCCCGCGAGCCGTATATTGGACAGCCCTGGTCTAATCATATTAGCAAATATCCCCGAAATAATTGTGAAGTCTGATTTTACTGGTGCAAGTTGTTCAAGGGGTGTTTAAAACATGAATGCATAAAATGGGTACACAAATAACTTTTTATTTGACAACAATGAGTGTTGACAGAAACGAAAAAACTTTTCATATAAGATTTTTAGGTATGAGACCTACAAAATGACACCACAAAATCAAACTAATAGCAAAAATGTTATGGCCGAAAAACGCGGTAAAGTGCAGGTTTATCGTCTTATTAATAAACATCTGCCAAAACCTGTATTTTGCCTCGTTCTTCGGCCATAACATTTTTGCTATTAGTCGGATCTTTTTACGTGTGGTCTCATCTTGTAGGTCTCCTACCTAAAAATCTTATATGAAAACGTTTTTCGTTACTGTCAACACTTTCGATTGAACCCCAGAATATACGTTTTCTCATTCTTTGTTGTCAAATAAAAAGTTTTCCCACATAAATTGGTGTACCCAGTTTATGCGTCCATGTTTTGAATACCCCCTTGAACAACTTGCACCAATAAAACCAGACAATTATTTCGGGCAAATTTGCTAATATGATTAGACTAGTAATTATAGTTTATTGCGAATTACTCACAAATACGAAATATTTGAATTTGTTTAGAAGAAAAAACCTAACCCATTCTGTTTTGCTTAAAAATAACGTTTATCTTCCGGAATGGTTTGCGATTCATATCGGCAAGGTAAACTAGTGTATTTAGCTATAAAGCTATAATATGCTCTTTGAACTAACCCTGTATATTGCTTAATAAACTAGTGGTGATCACCGGAAAACAGGTGTTTTGGGATAAGCAATTAGAAGTTCTCAAAAACTACTTCATCATTCTACTCCAATTTTGTTGTGGTTATTAAGAAGTACGAATTATACGAATTTGAAGAATTTCAAATATCTGCGAGAACCATCGTTGCATTACCAAGTTTTCAAACCTGCAGTTTGACTCGGTTTTCGGCCATAACTTGTTTGCTATTAGTCGTATCCTTTTACGTGTGGTCTCATTTTGTAGGTCTCATAAATAACTAAAAACCTTATATAAAGTGTTTCTCCTGCCAACATTTTCGATTGAATCCCAAAAAATACGTTTTCCCATTCTTTGTTGTCGAATAAAAAGTTTTCCTACAAAAAATGGTGTACCCATTTTATGCGTCCGTGTTTTAAATACCCCCTTGAACAACTTGCAACAATAAAACCAGACTTTACAGTTATTTCGCAAACTAGGGTTATTTTCGTCTAATATGAACAAAAGTATGCCCAGACGGGTATACAAAAAATTGTTGTAATAAATTTATTACTAGGTGTTATTTTTCCTGTCAGTATATTTTATAAAATGCACGGATATTAAAAATATCGCGGATGTACTCAGTATTTCGCCAATTCAGTTCTTCTACGTTTTGCAAGCATTTTAAGGACAAACCAAATTTTCCGTTTCGGTGCATGAACGCCACTAAAAGACTAGTGATCTAGTGAATCAATGTGAATGGACGCCGGACAGTAGCTGAAGCGAGATGAAAGAAGCTTTGAGATCAAAGTTAAAAGTATAGTGAATGTTACTGATGAAATACTACCTTCGAAGTACAGAAGCAACATTCAAATTCACTAGGGATTTCTTCGAGTTTTTCAGTCTTCTTCAACGGATCTGATTTTTTACTGTCCGCCTACAATGCACAAAATCACATAAAAAACAGACTCTAAATGATTGTTGACTTATTCTTGACTGAGGCTTTCTTAGTAGATTTCATGAACTCAGAGGCTGTCCAATTTTTTCCAGAAATTTGGTATGCGAATTTTGCTTTTAATGCATATTAGCACCAATACCAACACGATGTGGTTTTTAGATAGCTTTTGGTAGTGTGTTAATATTGTTACACTTCTAATATACTCAGAAAACCACATGCAATCCATTCAGAACTTAGTATACAATGTCGGAAAGTAATAAACTGGTCAAACAGTTTTGAATATCCTCAATTATTTCTAAAAATATGCGCGTCTTTTTTTTGAATATGCAGCATTTGCAACTTTCGTTATTTTTCCTTCAATATTCTTGCCTCTGTGGTTCTACAGATCATTTTCCGACCTTGTATTCGATATGAATTTATGTTACACATTTATTCTACCATATGTATAAATCACAGATACACGCAATACAAACACAAATAAACCCATATGAATAAATATTCGCTGTCATTTTTTGAAATAATAAAAGTACCCGAATTAGAAACACCCGTCTTTAATACGAGGGGCACGCTGTATATTTTGAGATGTGCATTAACTATACTAGTTAAAGCCGGCAACAGTGCTCTATTAGAAAGAGCAGTTCTTTATTAGTAAGTCGTCGCATTAAGTTCATTTGCAAGCATGGTACGTGGTGTACACATATTAAAGACGAAACATGTAGTTGTCTCGAGAGTTATCGCGCTATGATTTACTATGACTTTAAATTCGGTTTATCTGAACATCAATGTATCGAACGGATACGTAATGAAGCTCCGTCCCGGGGAAGTGTTACGCTAGTATGCCGAACTTAAAAGAGGGCGTGTTTCATTGTCTGATGAAGAACGTGGTGGTAGCCCATGTTCTAGTGTGACTCCAGAAAAAATTGCTAAAGTTTAGCGGCTAATTGAAGAAGATTCTCGCTGCACACTCTTGGGGTAGGATCCGCAACAGTACACACCATTTTACAAAAAAAAAGTTATTGCGTGCAATCCATGACAATGCCTCTAGCCATACTGCACAACTAACTGTAGACCTTTTACGTCAGCGCCACATCAAAATGCTGGAACATCCGCCAAAAACCCCCTGGTTAGAAGCATTTCATTTGTGGCAGGTCAGGCTACACACGTGCATTAATACTGGAGGAGAATACTTTGAACATAAATAAACTAGTTTTAGAATAATAGTTTTTAGCTTTCGTGTATCTCAAAATATATAGCGTGACCCTCGTATCATATACATTGTTTCAAGTCACTATCAATTTGCGTAGTTTTAAGGAATTCCTACAGAAGAACACAAAAAATAATATGACAAGCTGACACAAAAAGATTTTACAGGTCATCCCTACAAACAGAGATACAGATCCCTGAAGGCTTAAAGCATTATCGTTCCTCTTTTAAGGAAGCGTTATTTATATTGACAGTCCTGGCACATGGGAGTGAGAAAAATTGACAAAATTATATTTTTCGATTAAGAATTATTTGTGCTGTGCTGATTTATTGCTTACATAGTCGTGAACATAAACTTTTTATTATTCCACTACTATGTTCAACGATTGCAAGGTTTTTAGAATTGTTTCTTATGTCTTTAGTTTAGAAAAAATATTAGATTTTTATCTTTTCACTCTCAAGCAACAACGTGAATAAGCTTTCTCTCGGGGAAATAAAGACGGATAATAACCGATTCATATTTTTTGAGGTTCATGAAAATGGTTTTTATAACGGAAAGTAAGCTAACAATTTTTGATTGGACGGTCCAACTGTTGTTCGAAGAAAACCGTTTTCAAGTGACGTCCTTCACAGTATGTATCTCCATAGTTAAGGTCCGTAAGCGTAGTAGTGCACGTTGAAAATTCCGCTTCGGAACAAACCGACCATATTTATCTAGGCAAGCGTATCAGACTTTCTGAAAAATCGCAGCCGGCATTTTTTTAACGAAAAAGTGTAATGTACCTGGGTTATACTAAGTCGGAATTCTCAACGTGTCCAGTCGCGCCTAATCATTCTTTGCTAGGTACTTGTCACAGTACCTTTTCTGTTCCGGTATTATAACCGTGACTTATTAAGTCAAACAGCCTTAGCATCAATCTTTCGGAATATAGCACACATTGTTTTTCCTACTCACCGATGGCGACATGCACTCTTTGGGCGTACTTGGAATTAGCTGCGTCTCATCTTGCGCGAGTGGCGCCATCTGCTCATCCCTGTCCTCCAATTCCAGCAACCTCCGTTGCGAAGATGGCGATCCGGCCGGGAGGGGCTGCATCCCTCCACCGCCTCCACTCTCACCTCCACTGCCTGGCAGACATGGCAACGTGGACGAGTTGCTCCGGCGATGGCGGTTGGCGAAGTGCTCGTAGTTCCGATAGCAGCCCATACCCGTTTGCGCGGGATTGCGCCCCCCAGCCAAACTTTCGCCCTCCGTGCTGTTACCGTCGGCATGCGACATGTTGTGGCCTGTCGAAAGCACGCACACCGTCAGCGAGCAGGCAGGAGCATGTGCAGGCACGAGTCGATTGGTGGTTGTGTCAAGTGATACGCGCGAGTGCGGTGTTGCCAGAATGTGAGAGTTGGTTAGTTTCTATGTAATTCTATGTATTGTATAAATTAAGAGTGCCTTAAAAGTACTCTTTGATTTCAAGTCATATTACTCTTATATTTTTGTTACACAGGGTGTTCAAAATGGGGATGCTATGCATGTGGAGCTCAATACTTATGGTAGATACAGCTTATGTTTATTTAGAGAGGAGTTGCGTCCTCTGGGAAGTACTTGCATGCCGTTGAGAAATTAAATAGCTGAGATATTTGGGAAAATCTATAAAGTGGCCAAATCATTATTTTTTTGTGATTTTATTTTAAGAAATATCAAAAAACGAATGAAACTTCTCCCTTCGCACCTTTCAGGCACTAATTTTATGGTGTTTTTAAACTTTGTGCCTTTGAGAAACCACCAACTTTATTTTTTTGGTTCGAAAAAAAAAATACACCCTGCATTCTTTATACAAATTCAAAGTTGAATCACATGTTATACTTATTTTCTTTGTTATAAGGAAAAATGCGTTTTTTTCCTGGATTTTTATTTTTTCAAGTAGTCGTTGCAAATAAACGTTTGTAATTTATTTTGCGTAGAAATAGATACAACCCCTATGAATTCAGGACTTGCCAATAACTCAGACCAGGATATAGCGAACGGCATTAGCATCTTTGTGTGTGACTGGTATACACGAGTGTCTGAAAATTTCAATTTCCCTTCAAACATAATATCGTACGGCGAGAGTATGGCCACTAATAGTGGAATCTTTAATTTCCCCAACACTCATTACTGGGCTCAAGAATAGCTGCGGGCTAAAACATTATCAAGACATCAAGAAGGGTTTAATATGTGTTGTGGAATACTAGAGACCAAAATATTAGGTCCATTCATTTACCATAACCCATAAACTGCAGAAGAGTACCTTCAATTATTGCAACATGATCTAGAAGACTGCGTGGATAATTTACTTTTGGCACATGTTAATAGGTCTTCCAGTGAAGTGCTCTGACCAGCGTGTTCCCCAGATTTAACTCCTCTGAACTTTTTGTTGGAGGTTTTATTTCAAACCAAGTTATCAGCATTCTTTTGAAAATGGGCAGCTGTTGCATGAAGGTGCAATGGAAGCTTTAGCATGGTTACACTAGAACTGTTACGTCATGATCTAAATTTTGCTGTTCAGTATCAGTAACCACATAATCTTACATCAAGCAACGCCTACTTAAATAAAATAAAAAAGTAAAAATAGGCATTATTCTTTATAACTAAGAAAACAAATGTAATATGTGATAAATTTAGAAAAACATACTATCCGATACAGGGTGTACTATTTTTCGCACCATATAAAAAAACGAAATGTCGAGCACGCAAATTCAAAAACACTACTTTCCAGTGCCTAAAAAGCGCCAATGAAAAAGTTTCATTAGTTTTTTAACATTTTCTAAAATGATGTCAGAAAAAAATAAACACGATTTGGCCAAATCTTAGTTATGCCGAAATACCTCAGTAAGCCAAGCTTTTCAATGGCATGTAAATACGCCCAAAGAACGTAGCTTTTCCATAATTCAATCTAAACTGTATCTCCCACAGGTATTGAGATCCTCATGCATAGGGTCCTCATCTTGGACATCCTGTGTATTTGACAACCTCTTTTTAAATTCCAATATACTTCAATATACTCATAGTACCATTTGTTGGTCTGGTCACATCTAAAGCCGCGTACAGACCGAAAATCCAACGCCGAGCAAACGAATGCAAGCACATATGACGTTGGCGTTTGTTGATGGAAGGTATTGGAATGCGCTCGTCTACAAATAAATTTAGTTTCGAGTTGGACCGCGTCGGGTTAAGTTCGGTGCTAATATACAGCGACGAGTCTCCTCTCATCGAATGCAGACAAACGACTAAATACTAGAAGGGCAACAAATCCTGTGCAGACCACATCAAACCTCCCTTTGATGTACCGATCAAGAATCGAACGCCAACGCCGACCTAGGAAACCGTTGGCTTATGTTGGCTCGCGCTATACACACCGGTTCTAATAAATACTTGTGATAATCTTTTACTTTGCATGTACTTAACAGCAGCACAAAAATCATTTTCATAAATTGGTTAATGTTTTTCTATGGTCAATAAATTCCATTAAAAAAATCTATGGGAGTAATGATCTTATTGCCTTGCTTTTTCCCTTTCGACGGACTTATTTGGATAGTACATATTTGATGCAAACCAAAATACACGCGGTCAGGGCAGGCACAAATACATGGTTTCTGGTACCAGAACCAATAGCAATAAATCGTTTATCATTTATATGGCCTTTCCATTAGAACAAGAAATACCGCTCTGTTTTTTCTATTATATTTGCACTTATGGAATATATTTCTACATCCACATCTGGTATATTTGTAAACGAAATAAACTGCATTTTGATTTACAACACTCTCATGTTCGCAGACAATCTGAAATTACTTTATCGTTTTGACAATACTCTAGACTGTTAATTATTATAGACAGATTTGATAAATTCGGACAATTGCTGTCATGCAGTCAAATTATTCTTAAGTATTACGAAACGTTTCAAGTTCTATTTCGATCGAAAACCGACATTACCGAATTACAATTCAATTTCAGTGACACATCTTTAATAAGAAAAACAATGAATTTAAAAAGCCGGAAGCCATGTTTGCCACTAAACTAACATTTGTTTTCTTCGTCAAAAATGAAACGTCAGGTGCTTATAGAAATTTAAGTTCCTCAATGTTTCATCTTTGAATCGAAAATTTACCTAGGCATACTTAAGCACAAGAAGAACAAAAAATGTATTTTTAATTTTTATATCACATACAAGCCGCAAATGCTTGATAAATTCCAAGAAAATCTGAATAGCTCAAAATCCTTTAAAAGTTTGATTCGGTTGTAACTATCAATAGTTGCACTCTTCTACGTACCTCAAGTCATTGACAAACCCTGAAAACGGGACCTTCCCAAAAATGCACTAGAAAAATCCGAATGATCTATTTCTGGTAAATTATCCTGTATTTACTTTATTTTACCTGTGAAGCGGTATACCAGCAAAATTCCGCTTCTCACAGCCTGACAACCCGAGCACTCCTTAAAAGGGTGCGACATTGAAATGTAAGCTATTTCACCTAAGCGAACAAAAACTGGACAGTGATCATGTGCATTGTGTTTTTCTTCATGCATGCTTCTTCGGCACAACATAACAACGAACTGAATGATTTTTTAACGTGAGCTTCTGCGATTGTCTTCGTTTTCACCGATCAGCGCACACTTTTCACCTGGAGGGAAAACGAAAGAACGGCGTCTTAACAAAAGGTGCAAAACAAAGACACGCAAAAATAAGCTGGAAGCGTACGATAATTCTTGGCTTTTGTAGGCCATGGAATGAGAATTGAGGACAAAAATTACCAAACGGTCGTTGTGATGAATTCAATATGGGCAAATTAAAACCCAATAGCTACGCAATTCAAGCCTGTCTGTGGTATATACCTTCATTCTTATTGATAACTAGACACTTTAACTTTGAGGGCAACTGATTTTATGACTTTTAAAATTTATTATAGTTTTTTGGTAAAGTATCAAAGGTACGAACATGTGTTACCTTCGAAGCCAAGAATTATTCAATGTCATGAATGTAACTGTTAGTTCTCGTTAGAAATAACCACCGGCAGCAGAGATACGACATCTAACATTCAAAATATTATCAGAATGTTAATTTTTCAGTTCAAATTCATACAAACATGAGGAGAAAAAAATAAAATTGTCTAAAATACAAGCTTTGCTTATATTTACACATTAAGATTAAAAATAATAAAAATAAATTGGCAACCATGTTTTTATAATCGTATTTTGACCAAAATTTTAATGTCATTTGATTCTAACAATGAATGATGATGGTGTAGATAATGCATGCATAGAGATAATAACCTAACGCGAAGTGATGTCGACAGGATGGATCATTTTGAGGTCTAAGTGAAGTGCTGATATACGAATTTGAATGGACAAAGAGTAGAATTACATACGTCAGTTGCGAAGTGAATGATTAATGGATGAACACGAGACGCGTAGTTGCGAAAAGTATAACATGCAAGATCAAAATGACCTTTTCAACCAAGGTATGTGAAGATTTTTTTCACTACTAACACTATAACACTATTATTGATTTAATTAGATTTGGATATTGTCATTTATTAGGTTACTCTAAAGCAAACGTATATCAACGATCATGACGATCCCTACTTATTTCACTGATACTCTGGATTACAAAATCTGCTGTCAGTAGGTTCAAGTAATGAGATGTGGGCGGCTTTTACTAGTCTATTTACTATTTCAAAAGGATTTATTTGTTAACGTTGATTAGCGGTGCTTTCCTTTTGCTTTAAAAGTTGTTTTTTAATATTATCTCGATTCTAGATGTAGCCAAGAAAGACAGCTACATAACGACCTGACATCATCTATTTCTCATTTATATTCAAATACTAGAAATAGAAATAGCTTTAGTTGTTAAACTGATATTATAAAGGTAGCAGGATACAGAATTGTTTATCTATGTATTTTTTCGTTATAATGGTTTACCTAGAGAGAGAAAAGTTACTTGGCAATAGAGCACTGCGGCTAATAATAGCGACTTCTCAGGTTAGCAGTGAAACAACATTTTTTATCTACTAACATTGAAATGATCTGGATATAGAGAAAACAAAAAGCAATTTAAACTAAGAAATGTGAAGGTAAGGTTGTGTCACATGCCAAAATGTGATCTTGGTCGAAGTATGTTTAGCGGTTAGCAATATGGCAACAGCTTGTGTATCAACTGTTTTTGAACTTAATGACACAACCTTACCTTTAGGCCCACATTTTCAGTCAATCCATGAGGGCCGACTGCTGATTGAGGATGTTGAATGAATAATGGCGCACCCTTAAGTGATCCTCAAGTGGAGGTATAACATTTGCATTTGGTAGTAGGCTGTTACAGTTCCCATCACCAGTTTTTAGGTTTTTCTGAAATATTCAAGATTTTCAAAATCCTCACAATAGTTTCAAAAATTAGTAGATTTTAAGGCTTTTCCGAATTTTTGTCTCTACTTGAGGTTGAGTTACTATTCATTACTATTCGTTAAAAATCCAAGGGTTGATCAAACCTCAATCGGCCCTCGAGGGTCTGCTACAAATGTGCGTGATACTCACCCGTATCAACAATAACATCAATGAGATCCATACTTTTGGCGAAAGCGTCCCTAAGGTTAATATGATGGAATGACACGATGCTCCCCTCCCGTTTGGCTCTTTCCAAAGCCTCTCTCCTCTTCAACGCCTTCTCCCTCCTCATCTGGTTCTTGTAGAACTCGGCAAAATTGTTAACAATGATAGGAATGGGCAACGCAATCACCAACACACCGCATATACAGCAAACGCTTCCTATCATTTTTCCAAGCGGCGTGGTGGGGTAGATGTCCCCGTATCCGACAGTCGTCATCGTGATTCCGGCCCACCAAAAGGTCTCTGGGATACTGATGAACTTCGTTCCAGGCTCATCTTTCTCCGCGAAATATGCTAGACTGGAGAAGATTAACACACCCATGGCTAAAAAGAGCATCAGCAGTCCCAGTTCTTTGTAAGAGTTCCTTAGGGTGAACCCTAAGGACTGAAGACCTGTCGAATGGCGGGCCAGCTTCAAGATACGAAGGATCCTCATGATCCTGAACACCTGCACCACTCTCCGGACATCTTGGAACTGGTCGGTGGCGTTTTTGTTTGTCTCTAAGAGGAAGAGGGACACGAAATAAGGCAATATGGCTAGCAAGTCTATGATGTTCAGTCCGCCTTTGAAAAACTTCCACTTGTTAGGTGAGGCGCTGAAGCGCAAGATGTACTCTAAGGAGAACCAGGTGATGCAAACTGCTTCGACCATGGCCAACTGGGGGTTGTCTTGGAAGTTCCCTTTTTCGTCGTTGACTTGCATGCTGGGGATGGTGTTGAGAGTGAGCGCTATTGTAGATAGAACGATAAAGAGGATCGACACGATGGCTATCACCTGCAAGAGCAATCACCAGTGGTGTCAGCAATCAAGGATCTTGTGTGATGAATTTTATGAAAGCTAATATTTCAAATTTCTAGACAGTGAACGTATTGTGTATATCACGAATGTTACTTTTAAACCTCTATTTTAGGATTCCTCTTAACATAAATCATAAGGTTTTCCGAGCAAAGGGTGACCCCAAAATTCGACTGCTCTTCCGCATTGGCTTCCGGCCTTTAGAATAAACCTAAAGAGGTTTCCCAGACATTGAATTAATCGTTATCAAAAACTAAATGAGGCATTACTTTTTGTTTTTTGAGAATATCCAAAAATTACCCCTATTCAGGGGTTGAAATTACATCAAATTGACTCTCTAAGTTCAAGACTATTTCCGGGGTTATTTCTAATAAATTAATTGTTTTGGATAGAAAACTAATGCTCATAAAGTTTGGTCGTCTGTAACCAGCCATAAGTGCCCCAAAAGGGGTAAGAGGTGTGAAAAAATAGACAAAACACCAAACGAAGCCGTAACTTTTGAGTTTCGCCAGGTTTGAAGATAATTTTTAACAATTATTATTAAAGTAATCTCCAAAAATTATCTCTATGTCTAGCGAAACTGAAAAGTTATAGTTTTTTTGCAATGTTTACATGCTTTTTTTCACCCCCTTTACCCCTTTTGAGACACTTGGGATGTCTAAACTTTATGAGCAATTTTTGTTCAGTCGTGGAATCTACCTGCCTGACATCTTACTGATGTTCAAATTGTTGTGCAAGATGTGTATGATGCTTAGTTCCGATATATCGTTATATTGGTAGTCCTTATTGAGTAATTTAATCATTTGTTGCTGTGTTTTGACCAAATTTTTTGGGTAATGGCTGGTGCATCATTCCCATGACGGCAACCATTCTCTCAAAAATTGTTTTCGGCTGATGGCCGTCTTTTGTCAGAAATTTTATGACACTGCTATACTCTAATTTTAAGTCATTTTTCTTCCCAACTTACTTTATAAAATGAAAATAATTATCAAAATCAACTCAAATTTTGCAAGTATGGTTAGATCACATGTCACTATTTGAGATACTATGCTCGTGCATTTCAATTGTTTTTTTTATGGCTAGGCAGATTTCTTTTCTGGTGTCTATCATCTGTTCAAAAATTAAGCGGTGGAACACTGAGGAAAAACTCTATAGAATACAAATTTGAAGCAACATTCGTGATTTTATAAATAATTTTTTTCTAGAGTCTCCGAAAATAACCCAAATTTTCACTCAAGATCCACTGCTTATAGTTCCGTATATTGAATATGGCTGGTAGGTTGTGTCCGTTTATCAATGACATGTGTTAAATGAAAGGATATCAGTTTAGTGCTACCGATAAGAATAAGCATTGTGTATTCAGAAAATGTACTGAGCTGTAAAAGAAATCTCACTGATAAGGTGTTAAATGACTCAATTCTTAGATTTCAGAATATAAGAATTTATGTCTAAAGTAGTTATGATGTATTGGAGATCCGGTCAAATACTTTCAGAAAAGTGAAACTTCTAAAATGTAAACTCTAGTGTACTAACACATGCAATAATATTTTTTCAAGTCTAGTGTCTGGTTCAAATCAACTTCGCGGGAATCTAATAATCGAGATATTCAGGATTTGTATACACAATGAATTTACATTAAGTAAAATAACTGCCAGATGTGAATACACATGTATATTGGCGGCTGAAGTGTAAAAGTTTATCGATTACTTTCTCATAATTTTGAATAACATGGCTGTTTTTAAATCCATCTTGCGTGAAAAATCTTTTATATACAAGAAAGTGGATTGGTTGTATAGTTATTTGTATAATGAACGAATAAAGGAGGATATTGATGGTGAGATTATGTTAATAATAAAGATGAAACATAGGATGGGGTGAATGAAATTACAATGGAAAGATTCAGACAGCAGAATACTTATATATACTTTCCTTTGCAATTTATAAAACAATTTCAACACTTTACATGGCAACAAAACAACTTAAAGCGGTTCACAAACAAACATAACAAAAAAATGATGTTGATGATGATTTGACACAGATATTATTACAGTATTGAATAAGCCTCAAAAGTATGCTTGTGCCAACCTGATGCTTCTGCTGTTCAAGTTAATGTACAAGTAAACTAAAGTCTATGAGAGTAACAAAAGTATCAGAGTGATATTTTTACTTTGAAGTCCTCAGGCAAAAGACACAACTGCAACTGTTGTTGTTTCTGCTTGCGATGTTCAAGTCAGATGGAAAAAATGACAAATACTGTAATAACTCCGATGTTTGAAAGTGTGTCATTTTTGTGTGAAGTGAAGCTTGTGTGGTGCATAGATAATGTTAGTAGATGTTAGTATTACACAGGCCAGATAGTAATAGGAAGCAATATACAACTAGCTCGAGCCCTAACGTCAGTCATAACCAGTCTACTTTGGAAAATTTACTGGACGTTGTAATGTAGTATTCTGGCTTCTCCAAGCGCGACTTGACTGCTTGCTACTACCCTTTCTACATAATTATTAATTACGGTTAGTAAACTAACATACAAAATGTTAATGTTAATACCTTGTGACAACACAGGATATGGGAACATAAGGATTTCCTTCGTCACTTTTAGACCAGGCTAAACATCTTTATATCGAATATATATACCTATTTCGGAGCTTTTACGAGAAAATGAGCGAACATGAAAAGATTATTCAAGAAAAGTGCAAAAGTTTTAGCACAAAATGGTATACGACTTCAAACTTACAATATTGTCACTCTGTTTTAAACTACCTTTTTCCGCTCCAAAGGGCCAAATCCAATCAACAATTTTTAGCCCTGTTCTGTGCCTTTTAGAGTGAAAAAAGGTCGGGGATAACAGATCAAAAATCCAAATAACAGACTACGTTTCCCGTCTGAACTCTCATGCTGGCTTGGAAAACCATTACGAGATATTTTTTCTTCCTCCATCTCCAATCGTAGTAAAATTATCCTTATGTCCTAGATTACCTTATATTTTTGCATGAAAACCATCATAAAAGTTGATCTAAGGCATACTAGCTACAGCTTAATAGCTTTTAGCACAGCATCAAATAATGATTTTCATACGCAAGCGCATACTGTATTTCTAAGTATTTTATTGAGTTACCTCTAGATTCCGAAAAGCTTGGCTCAAAAAAGCTTAAATTACTACTTTTACCATACATGATGATGTAGGTATCCAAAATGCTAGCCTGTTGAGAAAAAACTTCAAAAAGTTTTAAATAAGCGAGTTGAAATGAGAATTTACATAATTGTGGATGAAATCGTGAAAAATGACAGCAAGAATTTTATATTACGATGACTTTGGAAACTTCCTTAAAATTTCGTAGCTAAAATAGCAGATTAACTTCAACAGCTTCATATTCTTGTTGATTTGTCTTGATCAAAGATTGATTCCTGTGAAATCTCACTTTGAGAAACATAATTTTCCCAAGAGCTTAAAATACTCGCACTCAAAAAATCAAAAATTCAACCAGTGGAAAAAATGTCACTTATAGTGATCAAAGCCGCGAACCCTACGTTACCATCTCGATTAATTAGGAGTCGCAGTCTGAGTCATTTTTTTATTGGTCAACAAAAAAACGTCTAGCAACATCCAAAAAGACGGATTATGAAAAACGTCTGCGCATTCGGACTCGAATTGCGTTAGAATTGGTCATTGCGATTTGCCCATTCGCTATCTCAAAATAGAAAGAGACAACAAGCTTCTGAAGAAGATAAATATATATATATAATGACATATAGATATCCGCTGACTGATGCCGCTGAACATCTAGAACAAGTAGCATAAAAGGCGGTGAACATTTAAATATAAAGTTCTGGAAAAGCGATAGTTAAAGTCATTGTAGAAGTGGTTTAACAAAACCTTGTCAAGATAAGTACGCATCCAAACAGTCTCGAATGTTAGAGTATATGAATTTCAAAGATGCTTAGAAATACTGCAATGTTTTTTATTTCGCTCAAAAGTGATCAAGAAAGACAAAAACGAAGAATAAAAATCCACGATATTTAGACAAAATCATAAATCGACTCATAATTTTCAGTTGATTTACGAAACATTAACATACTCCTTCATGAGCTACAAAATTAGCATACATAGAATGAAGCTCTTATTTAGATTTTGTTATCAAAATAAGAAGACATGGTTGTATTTTTGAGAATTCACCATTAATTTGAGTCTATAGAAATATTTGCACACCCACCACATTTCATAGCCGACATTTGTTTCTAAAATTCGATTTTGTATCGCTTTTCGCAGAACTTTTGTAAAAATATGTATAATACAACGCCGAAAGTTACAAAATATAGCGTGTCGCAAAAAATATATATGCCACAACGATAGCTTAAATGTTGTTCATATTTTTGTGCCAGCCCTATAGAAAATGCAGAGACAGAATGGAAAACTGATATTGAAGCTATTAATACACTGTATATTCAATTAAAGAAATTACTAGTTGCTTCATCTGTTGTAGCACATGTGACTTCTTTAATAGTGGTTCATTTTAAAGAATATCTACGATGAAGAGTAAGACACCATTGGCCAAGCAGATTTAGGTCTCAATTTTATTAGATCAGATAATATTTTCACTCTAACCTACGTTTGAACCAACAATCATGACTTTTCCCACTTACTTTGCATTTCGAGGGAAGTACGGTGCAAACAATGGCTGGTTGCATTTTCATTTTGCTACCATGAAAAGTCATTTTCCAATGATATGGATATTGAGATACGAGGCAATTCACGTAAAGCGGACAACGAAAAAGGGTAAGCCTTTAGAATTCGTTCATATTGGGCCTGCTTGAACATCTAGTAGGTGTGAAAGAGAAAGTACGTTCTTTTTTCGTGGCACGTTCATTTTATAAGTTACGGGCTTTGTTAGAGTAGCCGTATTTGGAATTGGATTTTTTTTAAAGTATTTAATCAATAATAAAGGGTGCAGTACTGGAAGTAAATGCTTCAAATCATA